CCCGGATACGGCCATCGGGGAGCCCGTGGAGAGGGTGCGTTAGGGGGCCCGGGACAGCCAGCTCCTTCCACCAACGCCGGCTGGCGAGAGGAGGCCGCCAGGACCCAAGCTCGGCCAGGAGAGCCGAGCAGGCAGAGCTGCCGCAAGACCCACGTGGGGCCTGGAGCGGGACATGAGCACAGCGCTGAGCCACCCAGAGGGTCTGGTGTTCCCCAGCTGCGTCCCAGTGCCTCTTCCCGCAGATCTGACGTGACCCAGCACAGACCCCGACACTGCCTCGCTTTTCAGAGGTGACAGTGGTGGCAAACGCAAACAGGCATGTGTAACGAGAGCGCTTCCTCTTCCTGCCCCACGCACCGCCGCGGTGTGGCACGTGTTGATTTTCATCCCATTCGAGCGCTGGAGTGGCTAAAACAACAAGGGGCTGCGGGGCTGGACTCCCCTGCCCCTGCTCACACCGCTTGCAGCACACACAAGGGCCTTCATGAAGCAACCTGGGACCCAGGGAGGGGACAGGACATGGTACCCCAGCTGAGAGGACATTCAGATTGCAGCAAACAGAGCTGGCAAACACACCTGGGCTGGGGCAGACCCTGTCAGCAACAGTGGAGGCAGAGAGAATAAACCCAGTCTCCCCATCCCGTGTGGGAATGGGGAGGCGAGCATCCGAGCATCACCAACAGCTCCTCAGCTCATCGCAGCCCTTCCCATCCCTGTCCCATGGTGCTTGGAGGCACCAGTGTCCCCGGCTGGCTGGTGTCGCTTGCTGGTGCTCACGGTGCCAGGGCAACCGGCAGCCAGGCTATTCGCATACAGGAGCGAGAAGCCCTTCGAAAGCAGCTTCATGACTTCCCCCTTCTCTCATCTCCCTGCCTGGGCCAGGCGAGAGAAGTCGTACGCAGGGGTGCACGTGCCAGTCTTTGCGAGCCCTCTGCACCACAGCGAGACAGAGAGAGATGTGGGGAGGATCAGCCACGGGGCTGTACACTTCCCCTCCTGCCTGTGGACTGGCCAAGCCCCCTTCACTGTCATCAGCGAGGGAGGCTCTGCTGGACACCATGTGGCTACCATGGTGCCGCGCAGTCCCAGGAGCTGCAGGCATGCCTGGCTCTGCGTGCGCAGTTCCTCTGCAGATGCCTAGAGGAGGTCTGTTAGGAGGAAGGAGGCTGCCAACACTTCCTGCCCCACCATTACTTAGTAGAAGAGCCTGCAGCATCATCAGCCATGTCCCTGCCTTTATTTCTTCTCCTTCCCTTCTTGGTGAGGGCACTGGTAGGAGTTTCTCCAAGCTCAATGTCAGTTGGCTTGAGAGCAGTGTTGAACGCAACAGCACCTGCTCTCAGCATCGGGAATGCTGGAGCTGTGACCGTGCATCACTGCTCCCTTGCCCGCACGACCACGGCAACTCGCCCCTGGTGAAGGCCAGCGCAGAGAACAGCCCGAGCGCCCACTTCGACCCAGGCCTCCCAGCCCTGCGTGCACGCGCCACGCAGCCTGCCAACAGCTACGCTCCTGGGGCTCGACCCAGCCCCTTCGCTCCCACACACGCCCTCCGACGCACCCGGAGCCGATTCTCCACCTGCAGCCTGAGCAAGCTTCCCCAAGGCACCAGGGCCACTCACCGTTCTCCCGCTCGCCTGCAAAAACCCCTGTACTTCAGCAGAAACTCTGACGAGGAACCCTGCAACAGGAGGCACAAGGTCAGGTCCCCCCCAGCGAGGGAAAGGCAAACCTGCATGGAGGGAGAGACCTAGGGACAGCCAGGACAGGAGCATGGCCCAGTCCCAAGCTACCTCACCCCTCTGCACTCCTATAAGTCAACATGGCTTTGAGCATCTCTGACTTATTACAAAGATAATGCCACATATATGGGCAGTGAAAACCCAGAGGCTCCTAGGAAAGAGGTTTCCCAGGCTGCTA